CAGTTCTGCAGCGTTCACTGCCCTCCAAAGCTTGAAGGGCAGACATTGAATCTGTGAAGATGACAATATTTTGGACCTTTGAAGGGTAAACATCCATTACAGTTTTTAGGTGATATACTGCTGTTTCCAGTGCAATTATTTCAGCTTCATAGTTTGAACAGAATTCCCCGCATGCATCAAAAATCTCTTCAACAGATCCATCGGGATAACCTTTGTAGATTCCGTAACCTGCTTTAATAGTAGCTTTAAATGCTGATCCATCAGTATCGACATGTATCCATTCTTGGGGGTAAGAATCAACGGTCTTTAGTGATGAGTTCATAATAGCGATTGGGTCGGACTGTTTGGTTTCCTCGCCTATCAATTTAGTTCGGACTTCTGGAGCTTTAAAGCGAGCATGTGGTGGTAGGTTTCTTGCAACATTCTGAATTCCTTGACGTCTTTCTGGGAGGTGGTATCTGTCCTGAATTTCATTAACACAGTGTTAAACCTGATTTGGGCTTTATTCTTTGTTTGTATTCCCAGTTTTCTACAAGATGTCTATTAGGATGGTTACGATTTTTCCTAACGCATCTTTCATAAATTTCTAAAGTGGCTTTTTCTTTCCGCAACCCGAGGGGTTCCACATTTGTATGGATTTCACATGCAGCAGTTGGTGTAGACTGCATAGCTCCGCAGATTATTTGGAGGGCATTATTTTGTACTCTGTCAAGAGTCTCTAGGTTAGTTTTGGAGCAAGTTGTAAGCAGTGAGTTGTTGTACTCTATCACAGAGCGAACATATCCTAGATATAAGCCCCCCAGAGTTTCCTTGTCTGATCCCCATGATGTACCTGCAAGTCTCTTTAATAACTGTAACCGCCTCAATGCCTTATTCCTGATGTTTTCAATATGGTTCTTGAGGCTGAGCTGCCGGTCAAGTGTGACTTCAAGGTATGTGGGATGCTCTTCTTTCATCACTTGGTGTTTGTCTAACCTCAGGTTAATATTCTTCCTTGCTACTTGGTGGCTTTTGGTAAAGATTGTGTAGACCGTCTTTGCACAGTTAACTTTGAGTTTCCATCTTTGGCAGTACTCATGCAGTCTTCTAAGGTCTCCATTCAGTCTTTGGGCTCCACTTTCCACATTTTCATGACTCTGCCATATTGCTAGGTCATCAGCGTATAAGGCTTTTTCGGCCTTGATTTGTTCTGGCAGGTCATTGATAAAGATTAGGAATAGTGTACAGCTCAATGATGAGCCTTGTGGCAAGCCCTCCTCCAAGACTTCTTTAGAAGAGATTGCGTTGTGCATCTTAGTCTGGATTGTTCTATCTATCAGGAAGTATTTCACCCAGTTATACAATCTGCCATGTATTCCTATGCTCATCATCTTCACCAGGAGACCTTTTCTCCATACTCTGTTATAGGCCTGCTGGAGGTCGACAAAGACTGCCACTGTGTGTTTCTTATTCTGGAAGCCATCATGTATTCTTTGTGTCAGTCTGAACAGCTGGTCTTCTGTGCAGCTGTTGGTTCTGTTCATGGCATAGAACACCAGAACTCTCAAGGAACCAATATAAGCGCCTGTTTGTCATTCTTTCTGCAACTTTGCCCAAGCATGATGTTAAGGATATCGGGCGGTAGCTTTTGGGGTCATCTGGAGGCTTTTTGGTTTTAAGAATGGGGACGATATATGCATTCCTCCATGCCTTTGGAAGTTTGCTAGACCTCCAAGTTTTATTAATAAGCCTGAGAACGACTTCTCTCCCAGACCGGCCAAGATGCAGCAGCATTTCGTTGTGGATCTTATCTGCGCCTGGAGATTTTCTAGGTTTTAATTTCTTCAGGGCTTGCTCTAATTCATCCATGCTAAATTCATTTTCAAAAAGGGAGTCGCTAGCTGTTGGAGCTCTCTCTTGTTTCTTCAACTGAGAGAGCTGTGTCCTATTGAGTTCTGACAGCTTACCTGCTCTGTTAACTGAGGCAAAATAATTATTGAAATGTTCTGCTTTCTTCTTGTCTTCAGTGATTGTCTTACTCCCATCTGTCACTGGTTTTGGGTTCACCCTTCTACTTTCTCAGCATCATATAGCAGGTCCTTTGCAGAACGTCGCTCTCATCATAGTCTGCCTGAAAGAAACTCGGTCTCTCCTAAGCTGGGAGTAATCTTCCACCTCATGTACTTTAATACTCAAGGGGTCACTCATATTCTGTGCCCATCTTCGTGTCGGTCGGCCCCTGCCCATCCTTCCTGGTACCATGCCTTCTGCTATATTTTTTTCCAATCCGACGTGGCGCTTAATATGGCCAAAATATTTCAACTTCCGAGAAAGGATGCTGTTTATTAGCCAATCTTTCTTGATGTTCAGATCTTTTAAGATGTCAGTTTTCTCCTCTTCTTTGTCCAAGATATTCTGAGTCCCCTTCTATATCGTTTCAGCTCAAAAGTCCCTATTCTCTTTCTTAAGGACTGAGAGATAGTCCACGACTCACATCCGTATGTAGCCACATGGAAAATGCATGCTCTCTAAATTCTAATTTTGATCTCCTTGCTGGTGCTTAACCATAGACTTTTAAGGCTATTCAATTTTTGCATTGCTATGGCCATCCTTTTTTTAATTTCTGTAAAACAGTCTCCATTGCTGTTTGTTATAGAGCCTAGATATTCAAAGTTTGTGACATTGTCAATTTCCTAATCATATTATTTTTTTTTTTACTTTTGGGTGACAGCCAGTTTTATCTGTGGACATTATTTTCGTTTTCTTTAAATTCAAGAACAGATTCTGATCTTCATTGTGCTTATGGACAGACAATATTAAATTCTATATTCTTTTCACGCTGTTCGAAAGGAGGATTATGTCATCTGCGTAGCGAAGTTCCGGAATAGGGTTGCCACCAACTTTGACCCGATCATAACAGTCACAAGTCTGGTAATTTTTGATATTTCTCATCATATTTTTTGCGTATATATTGAATAGGTATGGTAAGAGAATGCACCCCTGCCTCACCCCCTTTTGCACCTCAAACCAATCAGATGTTTCACCAGCTGCTCTGATGGCTGCTTGTTGTTCATGATAGAGATTTTCAATTAAATGCACTAAATGCGCTCGAAACCCCATACTTCTCATAATAGTCTACAGTTTGGTGGTGCTGGACACAAGCAAATGCCTTGCTATAATCAATAAAACAAGCATGAAGATCTCTGTTGTATTCTCTGCATTTTTCAAAAACTATTCTTATATTAAAGATGTGATCCCTATTTCCTCTAACCTGTGCTTCATATAGCTCATATTGTAATTTTCAATCCTCTTCATGATAATTCGTAGAAGGATTTTGCTAGCGTGACTTTAATTCGAGATGGAGCATAGTTTCATATTTCCTTTCTTTGGAAGAGAGATATAGACTGTTCTTTTCCACGCTTTAGGCCAAATGCCACTATTCCAGATCTTCGAACACAGTGAATTTTAGATTCGGACGCTGGCCTCTCCTCCTGCTTAAAGTAGTTCTGCTGGTCTTTTGTCGCAACCTGGTGACTTTCCTTTCTTCAGGCTGTGTATTGCCGATCATACCTCATCCAGTAAAGGCTCTGGTTCTTTTTCATAACTTTCACAAGTTGTTTTGGAATTACTTATCACATCCTCATATATTTTTGTACAGTATTTTTTCATCTTTCTAATATGTCTTTGGTTTCCGTTAATTTGTTACCATTTGTATCACTTATTACATGAAAAGAAGGCATGAGTTCGCATTTCAATGTTTTAATTTCTTTAAACATGTCTCTGTCTCTTCCTTGCATCAGTTGTTCAATACTATTACAGGTATTTTGAATAAACTGTTTTTCTTATCTCCTCTGATAGCTCTTCTGATCTCTTTCGTGTAGTTCCTAAATGCATAGCTATTTGTTTATGTCCCTACTTGCTGTAAATTCCTCTTTTCTTCTATCAGCTTGACATTTTTTTTTCTTTTTTGTAATGTAAATCTGTTTTTATTGCGTCGTTTTTTTTTTTTTTAGGAATCATGTTCTGAGCTGTTGTGATAATGATGTTTCTTGCTTCATCAGCCAACTCAACAGGTGTCATATCCTCCCGCACTATCATGAGTGCCTCAAATTTGTTTTCAATCTCAATGCTGTAATAATTTGGCAAATTACTCAAATCAAAAAGTATCGGCTTAGCCCTTTTCAACACTTTTTTTCAGTTTTATTTTAAACTCCGCAACAAGAAGTTTGTGATCAGTGTCACAATCAGCTCCAGGGAGCGTCTCTGCAGATGTTATACATGTCCTCGATTTTTGTTGTAAAAAAATGTAATCAATTTGGTTCCTGGGATTTCCATCCGTTGAAGTCCAGGTGTAGAGCCTTCTTTGTGTGTTGTTTAAATAGTGTGTTGGTAATACACATATTCTTTTCTTTACAGAATTCGATCAGTTTCTCCCTACTCTCGTGTCTGTCTCCTATGCCGAAAAAGTCTCTGACTATTTCCTCTTCCTCTATTCTACCTCAGCCAAAGTTTGCATTAGAATCCCCAATGATAATTATAATAAATCTTTTTTCTACAACTTCTAACGGCTCTTCTAAATTGTCATAAAAGTTTTAAATTTCATCTTCCTCTGATGCAAATGTTGGGGCATGGACTTGAATATTTGTGATGTTCTTTTCCTTCACTTGAGTCTGACAGTTAGAATTCGGTCGCTGATCGGTTTATCCAAGAAGTGATGAAGAAACTTTTCTTGTCATCAAAAACCCACCCCGCTCAAACCACTCTTTTCCTTTCCTGAATAAACAAATGTATCTCCTGTTTGAGTCACAAAATGGCCTTGACCCGCCCATCTATGTTCAGAAATTCCTAGTATATCTATTTTTTTCCTTTCTAGTTCTCTGTCAACGATGCCAAGTTCTCCCTTATACATGCTCCTAACATTCCATGTTCCTAATTTTGAGTTTTCTTTTGTAGTACCGTCGGGCTTAAGGCCGTTGCAGAGACTGGTTATTCACATTCCAAATTGAAAACAATTACAACATTTACAAAACGTTGTCTTCGCTGCATTGAATTGCAAGGTTCACAGTTTTTCTAAACTTCGTGTTATACGCATAGTATATAAACGTGTTAACGGATGCATTAATGATTTCGCAGTGTTTCCTTAGACAGTTCACGCTCAGATAAAGGTTGTTGTACCGACTTCCAATTGCGAACTGTGGTTCAATCATTGCTGTTATACTAATCAAGATTTTAGGCGTGTTGCATACAATATATACCACAGCTATTAGAATGACTTGTTGGACTACGCGAAGTTCTTTCCCTGTCAGCCTATGATTTCCAGAGACGATCTCATATTGTTCTCGTGTCTCTGTTTCGTTGTCTGTGATCCTAACGTCTGTTCGACGGACAACGTCAGCGTTTGCAAAATGTCTGAACTCTGAAGCCACTCGAAGACAGTTTGCCATTACAATAACTGATAAAATAACAATGATTTGTGTGGCGAAGGGTAAAAACATGTCTGTAACCACCCAGACGATAGCTTTCACGAACTCTCTGTTTGGTGATATCCAAAAGCTGGGTCTAGATATATTTCTTTTGATATCAAATCTTGTAACCATGCCCATGTGGGTTAAAATTGGCGAATATACAGCTATTGTAAACACTACAAAAACTACACACCAGCTGATTGTCCGGTTTCTTGTGAAGGTATTTCTGAACTGCAGTGGTCTGGCTACGCACATACAGCGAGCAACAGTTATAAAGGTGGTAGAAAGGACATTGGCTATGCTGATTAATATCATTATATTACCAAAGAACATAGAGACCCCGTACGGTTCAATTCCAAACACCATCCCGTATTTTATCTCGGCAATGTAAAATATAATAGCCACCCCAAGGCACAGTGATGCTGTGACATACAGCAGATCAAATATTGAAAGAGCCAGTAAAGACACTGTAACACCATCACCAATCCCCATAATAATGAATGTTTTAATGTTAACTATGTTAGAGACAATGCCCCATACAGACAATATTGTCCATACAAAAGAGCATGATTCTATAATGATAACGTATTGTTGTAAGGTAATAATTAAACCGGGATAGGCTAGGCGTAGAATTGTTACATTATTCATAACTAAAATAAATAAGTGTTATTTTGATGTCTCATGCATGAAAGTTACATTAAAAGTGTTAGATGAATTACTGAGGTGTGAGTCTTGTCACCATTGGTTCTAGAGTCTTTGTAGATGTCAAGTGGAGAATGGACACCTATGGACGCGTCTGAAATGTCTCAGTTAAATACTTTAAGTTTACAAGGTATTAGCTAAACAAATTTAAGAAATATGTAAGCATAAACAATATCATATCGAATGCATAAAAAAATTATCATTTTATGTCAGTCCCAAATCGGTATTGTATTTCTTTTAAATGTAAATGCACTTAGTGTTATGGTACACATAATTATGTATTTAAGTAACTTAATTTTTTTTAAAATAATATCCCCGTTGTTCTGTTCGAGTAAAAAAGAAAACATACTCATTATTTATAACTGTTATTGTCACATTACCAGATGGTATGAGCACTTACGCGTTTACACTCAGCTAGTTTCAACGATTGTGAATTATCATAAATTTGGATACAGAAACTCAAGAAAAGTGTTCGAAATTATGCGTCAATTACTTTGGCAGAAAGGATGTTACAATTTTATGTATCGGATTTGTTTATAATAATTTGTAATTTCTGGACTGAAACACAATTATCTGTAATATTTAAAATGGGTTTGACTTCAAGAAACTAACGAATAGTTTTATACAGCCAAATTCACAATGTACAATAATCGAAGCAAACTCTTTCTTGTCAGGAACATTCTTTAAGTATAGCTGATTTTTGTTGTTGGGCAGATTACATAAGTACCGAACGTTGTTTTATGGATAAATAACCAGCTTTAGTCACTGTAGCGGACATCAGGACTGTAGTTGACATCAGGACTCAAGGGGACATCTGCAGTGAACATCAGGACTGTAGTGAATATCAGGACTGTAGATGACATCTGAAATGTAGGCGACATCTGTAGTGGACATCAGGACTGTAGTGGACATCAAGACTGTAGTGGACATCAGGACAGTAGTGGACATCAGGACTGTAGTGGACATCATGACTGTAGACAAGAAACAAGCCGCCAGTTTGTTAACCTAGTCAAAGGTGCCTCGTTGCGTAATCAGCGTGGAGAAAAAAAAGGTAACATTAAATTATGTTTAAAACTCAGATAAAGCGCCAGTGCGACAGTTAAATTGATGCGAAAAGTTTATGGGAATAATGTTTTATCTCGTGCACAGATTTTCAGCTGGTATTCACGATTTAAAAGTGGTGTGGAAATGATCACTAATGCAACTGGACCTGGACACACAATTTATGTTTGTAATGAGAAACCCCTTGCAAAATTCCGAGGACGAAAAAAGTTGCTTGTCAATCTGTATTCAACATCTGGCATTTTTTTTTTCCTTCTTTGTGACAATGCACCAGCTCGATGGGCGGTAGTTGTACAGGAATGTTTGGCCTAAAAACAGATGCGTGTTCCTAGCCATCACCCATATTCCCTAGATTTGTCCCCCTGAGACTATTTTCTATTCCCAAAATTAAAGTTACTATTGAAAGGACGCTTGTTTGACAATATTGATGGCATCCAAATGATCCTTAACATCGACTTTAAGGGCCACAACAATAGAAGAACTGCAGTGGTCGTTCCAGTGTTAGCTAGATCATGCCACTCGTTGTATCAGTGCACAAGAGGATTACTTTGGGAAAAAAAAATACAGGTTATATCTTCAACTGTTAATGATTTTAATTTTTATGTAAGTAGTCTCATTACTTAAATGGCGGACCTTGTATAGACGAAATAAAACAGAACTCAACTTTGAACAAGATATAACTAAAAGAATTGTCACTGGGAGAGTGAGGTGTCAGGCAAAGGATGGTCATGGGAACACTTCATGACAGACATATGGAACAAATTTAAGTCTATCAAAGAAAAATACACAAGAGGACAATTTCCTACCCAACACTTTTCAGAACGAGCCATCTCAAATCAGGGAAAGGAAGACTCTTTTGCAAAGTTACTTTACAAGACCAGTGCTAAAAGTAGTATAGCTAGATAGGTATTTCCGAAATTAATAGGAGAACAAGCGTAATAAATAGATATCAGTAACTAAAACAAACTATTAATGATGATAAATCAGGTCTAAATTTTGAAATTTGAGTGTGGAGAAGCAATCCTTCGAAAAGAAAACAATGCCCCATGACAGGGTATTCTATGCTATGAGATTTTAAAGGGAATTCCATTAAACACAATCAAAATTATTAATATGGGACACAGGAATTATACCAATGTCCTGGAAATTAGCAACTATGATGCCTTTTCTGAAATTAGGGAAAGAATCAATTATTGCCAGTAGACTGACGATACACGTGAGGCAGTAGAATAAATGCCCCCGGGGAATGCCAGTGGCTGTAACTGGAGGGTTTAGATAAAACTGTGTGGCAGTTCAATCCCCTAGGATTTTAGGTGAAACTGTGTTAGCAGTTCAGTCATCTAGATTTTAACGTGCCCAGAGGAAAAATAAAGCGGTTTTTAAGAGACTTGCGACTCTGTCGGTGGGGAAACTAGATTTTATGGATGTCACTTCCATGTTGTGGACACCTTGGTGCTAATGGGAATTGAAGTGCAATGGTACTGGTTTCAAGGCACCGTTCTGCACAACCAAAAGATGTTGTCTGAACCTGTAAGCCAGTCGTTGACCCATTTCACTGATGTATTTTATGCCACATCTCTTGCAATTGTTGGCGTAAATGACATGCGGCTCGTCCAGTAGAATGCTTCGCGTGTGTGGAAGGTGGCATTTGGGAATTCCAGACTTGTCCCCTGAACCGCATATGGACAAGAACTGCATACAGGTCTGTGGCATGGGATCGTCCCGAAGTGGGACTTTGATGCAGGCCGTAACCGACTCTTGACTAAAATCTCCTTGAGGTTGCGCTCATGTCTGTAGGCCACTAGAGAAAGTTCAGAGAAAACCGTGACGGTGACAGAGTCAGCCCTAAGGATAGAGAGATGTTTAAGAATAATGGATGGATGAATAAAAGCAAACAGAAAATGTCAAACTTTGTCCTCTTTCAGCCGCCCGAAGGCCTGTTTTATAAAAACAGGTTTCTTCGCTGTCTGATTTAATGTTTTTTTTTTTTTTTTTGCGATCATTTTCGCCTAAGTTTCGATTACTTTGCAACATCATGTCAGCGTGGTCAGGCTTGGTGGGTGGTTTCCGGGTTGTTGTTTTTTGGCGGGGGGGGGGGGGGGGGGGGGGGGGGGGGGGGGGGGGGGGAGTGGAACCGGAAGCCCTAAAAAGGACTGCCATTTTTTCCTAGGGCGGCTTGGAAGGGGTATGGGCGGGATCTCATCGTGGCTGGTTTTTGCTATCAGGTGATTCCTTCGTTTGGTGAGCTGTCTGTAAAGATGGAGGTATAGTTAATGGGTTCTCTTCAGTGGCAGTGAGGTCTGTCATCTGCTGCTTTCTGGGCTGGTACGGGTCGTTTCGAGCAGATATGTGGGTCAAAACTGGCGACTACCTCCTCTGTTGGGCGTGCTCTATTTCCTTTGTTGTCTCCTCGGCTGAGCAAGGGCTGCGTTAAGCTCATTGTAAAATCTATTACATTCCTTGCGTTTGTCTATTTCTTCGGGTCCTGGGTCCTCATTTCTGATTAACTTCCTGTCGAAATAGTTCACAAATCGGACGTTTTTCCATCATGAGCTTGTGCGGATGTACCTGTTTGTTAAAACTTTGTAACATAGTTTGAATATCGGCCTCACTGATTTCCCTACCGACTATCGCTTCTTTGCCTTCCTCTGTTTGTGGCCTTATCTGCATCTGGGATCGCTTCCGTTTCAGTGCTTTGGTCTGCAGTTCGTGCTGGTTCCGTAGACTGCGCTTTGTGACTAACGGCTTTCCCCTCTGTGGCTGTTCATTCGTCGGCCCTACTGGTGATTGGTTTTAATGCTGGTGTCTTGCTTTTTCTATTTGCAAAGATTCTCTCTCTTTCTTGGCTGCTGATATCGCAGCTTCTGCTTCTGCAGTTATTTGGACCAGCAGGGCCACCTCTTTGCATGCGTACTCTCTAGCTTCTTTCCTGTCGGCCATTTCTCTCTTTCTTTCTTTTCGTTCTGACTGCTGTTGGACTGCTGCCTGGGCCTGGGCTGACCTGAGCTGTGTAAGAAGGCTTTAAAGATTTTTGGCATGCCTCATTGACTTGTGCTAGCAAACTGGTTTGCTGCTCCGCTTCTGCTAGCCTGTCTCTCTTTTGAGCTTTGATTTCGTCAAGCGTTTGGGAAATTAGGCTAGTCTCCAGATGGGTTTTTAGCTTCCTGAACGCAGGTAGGCTTTGATGTTACCTCGGCTTCAGCAATAGGGCTCAGCGGTCCGTGAGTGACTGCCGGCTGGCTCCGTTTATCTGTAGCAGTAGGCTCTGGTTTCTTGGGTGTGGCGGCTTGCTTTTTGGATTTTCCCATCTTGTAGATGTATCTGTCAAGGCTGTACCTATCGGGGGAGTAAAGATAGCTTGATTCCTGATGAGTCGGCAAGCCTTGTTAAGAATCCTGAGAAGGACTCCAATTGTGCGTTCCCAACAGTATTCAAGGCAATCGCTTTGATAATGGTGTGTAAACTGGCTGATAAAACCCAAACAAAGCGCCGACCAAGATAACTAGTCAAGATTGACTAAGCTGAAAATCTAGCGAATTGGTGTCAAATATATGGTTATCGAGAATCGGGCGACGAATAAGCGTTAGCGATCGTGCGGAAGACGAGAGGTGCTGACGATTGGGCTGTCAGCTCGTGAATACTTGAGAAAGCTATTTTTGGCACGGATGTTGTGAAGGTGGTAGGCAAGTATGAGTATATGTCTGTTGTGTTGACGTGAAGGCTTGGAAACGACTGCCTTGGCACGTACGATAGACTGTGCTGGGTGAAAGATGGTAGAAAACAATTGTTCATGATACCGAAGCCAAAGGAAGTCAAACATTTCTAGGGCCTTGTTGTGAAAGTCGTCGTTCTCCTGCCAGTCTACCGAGGCGTTGAAGCTGAGA